GGTCTCTTGTAGACAGCATATAGTTGGGCCATGTTTTTGTGGATACCCTATGCCTTTTGATTGGAACACTTAATCCATTTACATTTAGGGTTATTATTGATAGGTACTTATTTATTGCCATTTTAATTCTGTATGGCTAGGTTTCTCTCTCTCTCTTTCTTCTTCTCATTATAGCAGTCCCTTTAGCATTTCTTGTAATGCTGGCTTGGTGATGAACTCCTTTAGCCTTTTTTTTTTTTTTTTGTCTGGGAAGTTCTTTACTTCAACGTCTATTTTGAATGATAGCCTTGCTGGATATAATAATCTTGGTCTCAGATCCTTGCTTTCCATGACCTTGAGTTCTTCATGCCATTCCCTTCTGGCTTGTAGAGTTTCTGATGAGAAATCAGGTGTCAGCCTTATGGGAACTCCTTTGTAGGTAAAAAGTTTTCTCTTGCTGCCTTTAAGATTTTCTCTTTGTCTTTAATGCTTTTTAATTATGATGTGTCTGGGCATGGGCCTGATTGGGTTCTTCTTGCTTGGGGTTCTCTGTGTTTCCTGAACTTGTGTGACTTTTTCCTTTACAAGGTTAGGGAAGTTTTCTGCCATTATTTCTTCAAACATTTTCTCCCTTTCTGCCCCTTTGACACACCTGCTTTTCCTAATATTGTTACATTTCACATTGTCCCACAGCTCCCTTAAGCTGTCCTCCTGTTTTTTTGTTTTCTCTTTTTGGTTCTCTAATTGAGTGATATTTTCAACTCTGTCTTCTAATTCACTGATTCAATCCTTAGCTTTTCCTAATTTGCTGTATATTCTTTCCAATGTGTTATTTATTTGTGTTATGTCATTCTTTATCACAAACTGTTCTTTTTTCACAATTACTATATCTTTTTTTAAAAAATATATTTTATTGATTTTTCACAGAGAGGAAGGGAGAGAGATAGAGAGTTAGAAACATCGATGAGAGAGAAACATCGATCAGCTGCCTCCTGCACATCTCCTACTGGGGATATGCCCGCAACCAAGGTACATGCCCTTGACCGGAATCGAACCTGGGACCTTTCAGTCCGCAGGCCGACGCTCTATCCACTGAGCCAAACCGGTTTCCGCTACTATATCTTTTTTTATGCTGTTCAGCATCTTTACCATTATTACTCTGAACTCTGTTTCAGATAAGTTTCTTAAATCTGCTTAATTTTCTCTTCTTCTGGAGAATTCTCTAGTTCTTTCATTTGGGAGTTGCTTCTTTGTCTCCTCATTTTGGCTGTCTGTCTGGGTTTGTGACTCTGTATTAGTAGATCTCTATACTAAGCATGTCGAACTCAAAGGCTAACAAAGGGCAAATAAACAAGG